CCCTCCAGAGAAGAGAGTAATGGTATCTCTTTATACATTGATATAAGTGTGTGTGTGTGTGTGTGTGTGTGTGTGTGTGTGTGTATAAGTTTTTAGTTTATTCAGTGAAGAAGAGGATATAAATGTTAATGTTCAATAATAAAGTGAAGTAAATGGTTCGAATATAATGGCACCATTGACCTATAGAAACCACACCTGAGACTATTATAGTCCTCCGGCCACTCTTGAAAAGTTTGGACTTACTGCTTTGTGTTATTCACCAAATGCCCTATTGCTTTTTACATGCTTGCAAGTTCTTTGTATGTGAGTATTTCTTTATCTAACTGATTAGAGTGGACCTTAATTTTGTTTCTCCAGATGTATCTGCAGACTAGGTGCTTTTTAGCACTGTATTCCAAGGATGTTTATTGTATTCTAAGGCCATTTGTTTGGAGACTTTTTTAGAGCTAGGCTTCCACTGTATCTTGTTTATCTCTGAAGAACATGTAGATCAGGGGTGTCAAACTCAAGCCCTGGGGACCAGATCCAGCCTGCGGGGTGCTTAAATCTGCCATGCAGTTCTGGAAATATCAAAGGAGTGGCCTGCAGTGCCTCTGTCAGCTGAAAATAGCCCATTTTTGGCCAGTGCTACAGGAGGCCATGGAGGGTGAAAACAAAGTGCTGGGGAGCCCTGTGCACCCCCTGTGTGCCACTTCGGCCATGAGGGTGTTGCAGGAGGCGTCTGTCCCATCTCTCCCCCCTGCCAGCCAGTGGTGGGTTACGACCAGTACACCCCGGTATGGGCATACCGGTGCCTGCCAAGAGCACCAGGTACTGTTCCGGTAAGGTGCTCCAGAGGCCACACCCACCCACACTTCTTACCGGTATTTGAAGTTTTCAGGGCTTCCGCGCATGCACATGGGGTGTACAGCGCCTGTGTGACACACTGATGAGCAGCTGGAGCGTCGCAGAGGCATCATGGAGCATTGCGGGTGGTAAGTACACATGTGCACGTTCATGTGGTGGATGCCTGGCCCTGTTGCACCATACCGGTTGCAACAGGATCTGGAACCCACCACTGCCGCCAGCCCACGGAGAACTGGGATGCTGATCTGGCCCTTGAAGAAATCCAGTTTGACCCGCCTGATGTAGATTATTTAAAATCTTTTGTGTCCAAATATCAAAATAAATATTTAAAACTAGAAAATGAATAATCTGTGTACAAAAAGAACAATGGATTTCTAGCAATTGCCAGACTATATCTAAGAGTGCAAATGTGCACATGTGTCTGTCTACCAACCTACCTATGAATAACTACTTGCCTCTGGAACTGAAATTAAAATTGAATAAATGGAGTATAGGATAACTGCTTTGAAAACAACTCTGGAAAAATTAGATCACAGAACTATCAGAGTTAAATAACACTAGCAGAAGCACGTAATAAAGAGAGAACTTGTGTTCTCTTTTCAGAACTTGAACATGTGTGGCAGAGTACGGTTAGAGCTTTTAAGAAAAACAGAGAAGTGTTTCCAAGTAATCTTTCTTTCATGAAAGACAATCACATGACATTGATTCTGAAGAAACCCAGACATGTTGGGGTCAAACTACATGTGATATTCAGCTGCATGTAGTTCCCAGCTTCAACTCATGTTAATGCACTTTCTCCCTCCCTCTCTCCCCCTTTTTCTCCAAAATGCATTTGCAAAGGCTTCAATCTGAAAAAAGAAGTAAATGCACTGCCTGCCTGCCTGCCTGCCTGCCTGCCTGCCTGCCTGCCTGCCTGCCTGCCTGCCTGCCTGCCTATCTATCTATCTATCTATCTATCTA